CCAGACGCCCCCAGCTCTATAAGATTCTAATAATTTGTCATACTTCCACACTTTTTTTTTTTTTAAAGAAATAACACATTAAAGATGTAGTTGGAGCATACTGTGTAATCCCACCCTCATGGTAATCACTTCCCTTGTTCCAGAGTAATGATTATCATGAATTTGGTACTTAACAGCCATATGTTTTTAATACTTTTGCCATATATATATATATACACTCACACACACACACACACACTCAAAGTAACATTGTACATGCTTATAAACCTGAAGTGAGTGGTTTCAGCATGTACATTTCTATCTGCAATTTGCTTTTTAAATTTAGTGTATGGGGATTTGAACTATCTCTGTTCATTGTACTATTATATAATAGTCCACTATGTGAATATAACTCATTTATTCTCAAATTGTTGAAAGTTTAGGCTGTTTTTAATATTTTGCCATTACAAAAAAAAGGTGGGCATTTGTATGTTCATTTGCAAGTATTTCTCTAGGGAGTGTTTTTTGAAGAAAAATAGCCAAGTCATAGGTATGCTACTTATTTATGTATTTATTCTAAATTGCTCTTTGACATTCTTTTACTAATTTAAACTCACCAGTATTGTATGAAAGCTCTTCTTTTTCCACATTCCTCCTCAGGCTTGAAAGTAACAGACTCTTAGAAATCTTTTTCTAATCTGAAATGTTATCTTGAGGTAGTTTGATTTTTCTGGTTATCAGGGAAGCTAGACACCTTTTCATTGGTTTATTCACTGTTCGAGTTCACGCTTCTGTAAATTGAAGAGCATTCTCTGCAGATTTCTTATTTGTACTGATTTTTGGTCATTGAATGTTTATTGGCGTAGTTAATAAGTAAACATGTTCTTTAATGAACTAACACATTACAGGCTTATATATTTTTTAAGAGAAATGGTACTAATGTACTCCTCAAAAATTTCTAAAGAGTTCTGTAAAAATACTGTAAACCTTCCTTCCTTTGCTCATTGGCATTTAAGAAATGATACAACCCAATGACCATAAATTTTATAAAGAATCTAATGTGGTGGGATCTAGAGTCTGAGCCCAGTACATGTGAATTGCTTACAGCATAGATAGCTACTTTTGATTGAGGGTCGTCTTTCCACTTAGTATAGTGTAATATAGTGTAAATAAATAAGTTCAGTGTACCAGTAGTTGTTTATAGCTAGATGCCCAATTCATGTCATTTTACAAAGTTGAAAAGAAGAGTATTTAGTATTTCCTGCGGTGGTGACTCTTTTCCCTTTTTTTCATCCTCCAGGTTTTATCAGAGTAAGATGGACGGTAGCTTTGATTGTGATTGTGGTGAGCTGGAGCCACCTGATCACTAACAAAAGACATCTTCTGTTAACCAACAGCCACCAGGGCTTCCTGTTGAAATATACAGCAACAAAGGAAGAAAAGAGGCAAAACGGAAATAGTGCTTACTAGCACCTTAGAATGATGCTGCTCAGGACCAGTCCAACACTGAATGTATCTGCACTGTGAGGAGAATGTTCATAGAAGCCTGTCGTGTGCATATTTATTCACATTTTTGTTAAATGTTAAATCGTTTAGCACAGTAAATCTGAGTGCATAGTATGTCATTTCATTCCGTTTGAGTTTCTTGAGTGTTTTCTTTAAATGTCTGCAGAGTTGCTGCCCCTTTCTTGAACTATGAGTACTGCAATCTTTTTAATTCTTAATATGAGTAGAGCTTTTTGAGCTTTAAATCTAAGGGGAACTCAACGGGCCTGGTTGGCATATGCAATGAACATCAAGAAATCATCTTGCTGTGGAAGCAAAATTATTTTTCTTTTCCTTTTTTGAAAGATCTTTCCTTTTGATGTCAGTTTTCTTCCTTGTTTACACAAGTTCAACAATTCGAAAGGAAAAGGCAATAGTAAAGGTTTCAAAATGGCAGAGAAATTTGAAAGTCTCATGAACATTCATGGTTTTGATCTGGGCTCTAGGTATATGGACTTAAAACCATTGGGTTGTGGAGGCAATGGCTTGGTTTTTTCTGCTGTAGACAATGACTGTGACAAAAGAGTAGCCATCAAGAAAATTGTCCTTACTGATCCCCAGAGTGTCAAACATGCTCTACGTGAAATCAAAATTATTAGAAGACTTGACCATGATAACATTGTGAAAGTGTTTGAAATTCTTGGTCCTAGTGGAAGCCAGTTAACAGACGATGTGGGCTCTCTTACCGAACTGAACAGTGTCTACATTGTTCAGGAGTACATGGAGACAGACTTGGCTAATGTGCTGGAGCAGGGCCCTTTACTGGAAGAGCATGCCAGGCTTTTCATGTATCAGCTGCTACGTGGGCTCAAATATATTCACTCTGCAAACGTACTGCACAGAGATCTCAAACCAGCTAATCTTTTCATTAATACTGAAGACTTGGTGCTGAAGATAGGTGACTTTGGTCTTGCACGGATCATGGATCCCCATTATTCCCATAAGGTATGTGGAAAGCTAGCTGAGACAGATCTTTAAACTCATGGACATGATCAGGAAAGGTACTTGTATCTTCTTAGTATATTGTGACAGATTTTTTCCATTAATTGTGGTAAACTTTGCATAGTATATTTTTTTCTGATACAGATCTACTTTCATTCAGAATCTCCATTTTTTTTTTTAAGATTTTATTTATTTGACAAAGAGAGACACAGCGAGAGAGGGAACACAAGCAGGGGGGAGTGGGAGAGAGGAAGAAGAAGACTCCCCGCTGAGCAGGGAGCCCAATGCGGGGCTTGATCCCAGTACCCTGGGATCATGACCTGAGCCGAAGGCAGACGCTTAATGACTGAGCCACCCAGGCACCCCTAGAATCTCCATATGTTTATAAAAGGAAGTTGGATTGCGATCCTAATTACATACAAATTCCTAAAAGTGTATGGTTATTTATTATAACTAAAACTCTCCCTTATTTAGAAGTGGGATATATTCTTATGTGTTTAGGGCAGAATTGTGGTCCTATCTGAAGGTAAGAGGGGCTTCTATTTCAACTTTTAGATCTTTTGTCCCTTTGAGTCTCTGTTACTCTGTTAGGCCTTGTTTAGGTAAATTTAATTTTGTTCAGTATCTAAATTTGCCTAAAGATAAAATGGCAGTAAAAATAGCTAAAAGGATTCATAGTAACTGTAGCTTAGGTAATAATTTGACTTCATAGAAGAAGTTAATATTTTCTTAGCTGAACTTTGGTCTTTTAGTTTTCAAATGAAACTGTGGGACCCTGATGTTTAAATATTAAAGTAGAGCTCCTTTTGTTATAAAGAACCTCTAGGAACTCCCTGCTTGCTTGGCTTCCCGTAGCACATGTCTAAACAAACAAGCAAATCTTTTCATTCACATATATCATCTCACATTAAGTATGACTTAATTTTTTAAAAACTTGAATGTAGAACTTTAGTATTGAAATGAAATGGATGCCCACCACATCTTTTTTATGGGTAACAGTGAAGTATTGTGGATAGAACACTGAACTAAGAGTTAGAACTATCTAAAATTGAGTTCCTTTCTACATCCCACTTAAGCTGTATGACCTTAAGCAGATTCCTTAATCTATGAGTGTTACTGCCCCTCTAAAATGGAGTTAATATCTACCTTCATAATTTTTCAGGGTTGTTTTAAGGATGAAGTAAGGTCGGGGCGCCTGGGTGGCTCAGATGGTTAAGCGTCTGCCTTCAGCTCAGGTCATGATCCCAGGGTCCTGGGATTGAGCCCCGCATTGGGCTCCCTGCTCAGCGGGGAGCCTGCTTCTCCCTCTCCCACTCCCCCTGCTTGTGTTCCCTCTCTCGCTGTGTCTCTCTCTCTCTCTCTCTGTCAAATAAATAAATAAATAAAATCTTTAAAAAAAAAAAAAGGATGAAGTAAGGTCATATATGTATATGTTTTTGTTAAATGCTTTATAAATGTAAAGTAGTAGAATTGATTAGGAATGGAATACATAGTAGAGCCAGGTCCCCTGGGTTTGGCATTGGTTTATAAGTAGCACCCCAGGTGCTCTTCTTTACCTGTCCCTCATTGATGTAAAGCATCCCTGCTCCTTAAGTAAGGCTTGAAGTGAAAAATAGCTCCTCTTCTGAAACATGTTTTGAATGTGTGACAGAATCAGCACTAAATTCTCACGGTATATTTTGGTCAGCAGACTTTATGTGAACATCATCTTATAGATGATATATCCCAGGGGGAGTTTAACCTCCATTAAGCCTGAAAAGTACAAGAGCCTTGAATATAGATATAGAAATCAACAGTATTGTTTTAGGATTTCACGTTACTTTTTTTTTTTTTTTTAAAGATCAGCTATTCTTTAATGAATCAAGTTTTATGTACTGTTCTTTAGCTAAAGTAAAAAATTAAAGTATGTTTTTCTTTCTTTTTCAGGGTCATCTTTCTGAAGGATTGGTTACTAAATGGTACAGGTCTCCACGTCTTTTACTTTCTCCTAATAATTATACTAAAGCCATTGATATGTGGGCTGCAGGCTGCATCTTTGCTGAAATGCTGACTGGTAAAACCCTCTTTGCAGGTTAGAAATTTTAAAATATATGGAAAAAAATTACTTCAAAGAAATAATTTTGCATGTATCTGTGAAGCAAGATGTATATAAGATTTAACACAATTTGTTGTAGTCTGCGATATTAAAATGAAAAGATAAAGTGTTCTTAATATTTAAAAATTTTTAAAAATGTATTAATATATTCACTGAATTGTTCACTCAACAAATTTAGTCAGAATTCTAGTGTTCTTTTGTATTTATCTTATTTCTTAAATATAATTTTGTATTTTGTAGATTCACACTGCTTGTTGGTAATCTGTGTTAAATGATACCTGAGTTGCATAATGCGGTCAGTGTTTGTCACTCCTAGTGAAAATTTTTAGCTGTCATTGAAAATGCAGTAATTCTTTGTCCCCTATCATCCTTGTTGCCTGAACTGCTGTATTCTGTTGCTTGACTGCTGTGATCTTTCAGAAATAACCAAACTAGTAATTTTTTTTGCTGAGTTTGGTGCTATGAGGGAGTCCACAGAGGTGTGAGAGAGAGAATTTAATCAAGATGGGAAGGGATGAATAACCCATGAAAAGCATCAGGTGTTGTAAAGCAAAGTATGAGTTTGTATAAAATTATTTAGTACAGATTATAAGAGCTACAAACTTTGAGTCTTCATCAGTGATGTCTGGAACAAATGGCATAAAGAAGTCAAAAGATTTTTCACTACATAGGAATAGTGAAGAATTTTGGTGGGAGGAAGAGAGAGAAAAAAATGGTATTATATAAATGAGGGTATGAGCCTGAATCAGTGAGAAAAGTTGGATGAAAGAAATCATGTATGTGCATAAATTAGTGAGAAAAGTTGGATGAAAGCAAGGTGTCAAATAATGAACACATTTATGACTAGTTAAAATAGGGCCAGAATACTTAGAAAGTAGGCAGAGGAATTTCCATTTGGAAAAGGAGGAAATAGTAGAGTACTGAGATTTTTTAGTTAAGAGAAGTGACATGATGGTAATTTAGGTCTTTTTCTCTCTTTTGACATTACTGTTTTTCTCTCTAACCAATCTTAGAGTGGCCCTCCCACCACTTCCAGATTGTGCTAAGAGCAGAAGAAAGGGAATGGAGCAGGGTCTGCTTACAAAAGAAGGATTAATAAAAGAAAGATAGGGGTGCATAGGAGAGCATTATTGAAGAAAGAAAGGATGGTATGCATAAATGTCCTTAAATTTTTTTTTTTTTTTAAGATTTTATTTATTTGACAGACAGCGAGAGAGGGAACATAAGCAGGGGGAGTGGGAGAGGGAGAAGCAGGCTCTCTGCTGAGCAGGGACCCTGGGATCATGACCTGAGTCGAAGGCAGACGCCTAACTAACGACTGAGCCACCCAGGCGTCCCGCCCTTTGCTGATACTTCTTGCACCACTCAGCTTACATAACGTTAACCAATCTTTTGTAATTTTCCCCTTAAATTTATCTGAAATTTCTTCTGTGATGTGTGATTAGTGATTGAATTTCAATTTAGCAGACTTTGAGAAAATACTAGTGATTCCTGGAAACTAAATGGTTAAGTGGATTGAATATTTTTCCTAGGAACAGTACTATAATTAGAGGTTATATTCCTGATATTCAGGTACCTTCCAACATATGTAAAATAATTATTGTATTACTTGTTGCTTCATGACCAACTACATCAAAACACCGTGGCTTAAACAATTTATTATCTCGAAGTTTGTATGGGTCAGGAATTGGGAGGTGACTTAGCTAGGTGGTTCTAGCTCAGATTTGCTTAGTCAAGATGTTGGTTGGGCCTACACTCATCTGAAGGCTTTACTGGGGCAGGAAGATCACTTCTAGATAGATTTTTTTTTTTAAGGTTTTATTTATTTATTTGACAGAGGGAGCGAGCAAGCACAAGCAGGGGCAGGGGGAGAAGTAGGCTCCCCATCAAGCAGGGGGCCTGATGCGGGGCTCAATCCCAGAACCCTGAGATCATGACCTGAGCTAAAAGCAGATGCTTAACTGCCTGAGCCACCCAGGCACCTTCCCCTCACCCCCTTTTTTTCATTTCTAAATAGCTTAACTCACATGACTCTTAGCAGGAGGCCTCAGTTTATCACCATGCAGGCTTCTCTATAGGATTGCGTGAGTGTCTTCATGATATTGTAGCTGGCTTCCCCCATAATGCTCTCCAAAAGAGAGCAAGGAGAAAGCTTTTGTATCTTTTAAAAAAAAAAAGTCCTATCAATATATAACATGCCAGACAGTTCACCCATTTAAAGTGTACAGTTGAGTATTTTTTAGTATATTCACAGGATTGTATAACCATCTAATTTTAGAACATTTTTGTCGTCCCCCCCGCCCGAGAAGTTGCCCTGTAACCATTAGCAGTCACTTCCCATTTCTCCCTTCTAGCTCCTGGCAACCACTAATCTCCTTTATGTCTCTATAGATTTGCCTGTTCTGGACATTTCATATAAATAAATCATATAACTTGCCTTATGACTGGCATCTTTCACTTAGCATATTTTGGAGATTCATCCATGTTATAACATGTATCAATTCGTCATCTTTTTATGGCCAAATAATTCCACTCTGTGCCTATGTTATACTTTGTTTATCCATTCATCAGTTTATGGAAATTTGGGTTTTTTGTTCTTTTTGGTTATTATTAATGATGCTACTATCTACATTAGTGTATAGTTTTTGCGTGGATGTATGTTTTCCATTCTGTTGGGTGTATATACACTTAAGAGTGGAATTACTGTGTCATATAACTCTGTTTAACTTTTTGAAGAAATGCCAGACCATTTTCCAAAGTAGTCGTAACACTTTACATTCCCACCAGCACTGTATGAGGGTTCCAATTTCTCTACATTCTCACCAACAATTATTTAAAGTGTAGTCTATCTTATAGTTGTCTTTTTTTTTTTTTAAAGATTTTATTTATTCATTTGACAGAGATAGACACAGTGAGAGAGGGAACACAAGCAGGGGGAGTGGGAGGAGGGAGAAGCAGGCCTCCCGCAGAGCGAGGAGCCCGATGCGGGGCTCGATCCCAGGACTCTGAGATCATGACCTGAGCTGAAGGCAGATGCTTAATGACTGAGCCACCCAGGCGCCCCTTATAGTTGTCTTTTTAAATATGAAGTAGTATCTCATTGTGGTTTTGATTTGCATTTCCCTGATGACTAATAATGTTGAGCATTGGCAATTTGTCTGTCTTTTTTGGAGAAATATTCAGATCCATTGCCTATTTTTATTTTTATTTTCCATTGCCTATTTTTAAATTGGGTTGTTTGTATTTTATAATTGAGATAATAAGAGTTCATTACATATTATGGATACAAATCACTTATCAGATACATGATTTGAATGTATTTTCTCCCATTCTGTGGGTTATCTTTTCACTTTGTTGGTGTCTTTTGAATCACAAAAGGTTTTAATTCTGATGAAGTCCAATTTATCTATTTTTTTTCTTTTGTCACTTATGCTTTTGATGTCATACCTATAAAATTATTGCCTGACCCCTAAGAACTTTATAGTTTTAGCTTTTAAATTAGGTCTGTGATCCATTTTGAGCTATTTTTGTGTGTGAGTTAGGGCTCCAACTTTATTCTTTTGCATGTGGATATCCAGTTATCCCAGCACCATTTGTTGAGAAGATTATTCTTTATCCACTGGATTGTTTTGAACTTTGCAAATGCAAAGGTACCTTTTTGTGACCTAGGCTCAAAAGTGACACAGTCATTTCAGTTTTTATACATTAGAAGTGAGTCATCTAAATACACCTCACATTCAAGGGGAGGGGAATTGGATTCCACTTTTTGAAACGAAGAGGACCAAAGAATTTGTGGACTTTTTTTTTTTTTTTAAGTAGGGTCCACACCCAACTTGGGACTTGAACTCATGACCCTGAGATCAGGAGTCACATGCTGTACCAACTGAGCCAGCCAGGCACCCCACATTTATTTTATTTTTATTTATTTAAGGAGGTTCCATGCCCAGCGCCTGACATGGGGCTTGAACTCATGATCCCGAGATCAAGATTCACATGCTCTACTGGTTGAGCCAGCCAGGCACCCAAATTTGTGGACATTTTTTTTAAAGATTTTATTTATTTATTTGAAAGAGAACACAAGCCAGAGGGGAGAGGCAGAGGCAGAGGGAGAAGTAGGCTCCCCGCAGAGCAAGGAGCCTGAAGCGGGACTCGATCCCAGGACCGTGGGATCATGACCTGAGCGAAAGGCAGACACTTAATCGACTGAACCACCCAGGCATCCCTGTGGACATATTTTAATGCTACCACAATAATGAATATTTTATCAGGAAAACTAAATTGTTTAAAATTGTTAGATCATCGGGTCATTTATTATGGGGTCATCTGAAGTGGGGTCAAAACTTTACTGCTATATTAATTATACAAAGGTACTTAATGTATTTTTAAATGTTCATTCAGCATATTCAGAATTGTTCAAGTACAGCAATAAAAATAATTGGATTGAGAAACACATTTAAATAACATGATTTTGATCTTAGACCCATGTAAACTTTAAACAGTTAATGGGAATTGTTTATGAAATGATTGGAAAGATCCAGTTTTAGTTCCCTTCTGCTTTATTGGTAAATTTGTGAACCAAAAGCAGCATGAGGGGGGCGCCTGGGTGGCTCAGTCATTAAGCGTCTGCCTTTGGCTCAGGTCATGATCCCAGGGTTCTGGGATTGAGACCCACATCGGGCTCCCTGCTTAATGGGAAGCCTGCTTCTCCCTCTCCCACTCCCCCTGTTTGTGTTCCCTCTCTCGCTGTGTCTCTCTCTCTCTGTCAAATAAAT